ATTAAAATATATGTTCATTGGGAATGCTGAGAGATTAGAGATTTAGTTTTTGATATCGCAATATGCATACTAATCGTATGACGATAGAAATGTTGTCTCATACAGGTCTTTGGGCTGTAACTCATCTAAGGAATGGTATATTATATTTATGTATGTGTGTTTTTATATATATTTCTTTTATTAGACAACTCCCAGTATCCGAGCAATAATTTGTGGATCACACTAAGTGTCGTCCCGTGTGGGGATCGAACCCACAACACTCAGCGTACTAGTAAACAGAGTGGTGACCGCTTAAACCACTACGCGAACCGTGCAGTCAAAATGTATCAGTCATGTGTGTATTCTGTTTACTTCTGGAATTCTACTATATCAAATTTAATATTTTATTTTCACAAGCTAATTACTAAAAAGTAGTTAATACTCTCAGTAATGTGCAAAATGAAATGCTTGAGTTGTGTTTTGTTGTCGTTTGAGAAGCTACGTCGAGTTTTCACATCGCCCACAGTGCCTTAAGACAAAAGTCTTTAATGAGTGCGTCCTACCCGTCATGACATACGGAGCCGAAACGTGGACACTTACGGTACGCTATGATCGGGGTTTCTCTAAGGTATCGCATCAGGAATGAGGTGATCCCGCAGAGAACCAAGGTCACCGACATAGCCTACTGGATCAGCAAGCTGAAGTGGCAGTGGGCTGGCCATATTAGCCGCAGAACCGACAACCGTTGGGGAAAACGAGTTCTTGAGTGGAGACCGCGTCTCGGCAAACGTAGTGTACAACGCCTACAGGCCAGGTGGAGTGACGATTTGCGCAAGATGGCTGGCAGGAGCTGAATGCGAGAAGCTCAAATTCGATCTAAGTGGCGTGCAATGGGAGAGGCCTGCGATATGCTGATGATGATTATGTGTTTTTGGGCTGCAGGTTTCCATTGACGAGGGTGGTCACTTGCCATCAGGTCACCCGTCTGATAGTTAATCCACTATACCATTAAAGGAGTTACTTAGCTGTGATAATCTTCCTTCCAAATCGTAAGAAGAATCACTAAAAGAGTTACTTATCTAATAATCTAGTAGTCCCAAGTCTTCGTTTATACTAGTTAGTTTTAATTTTCAAAATGCGCATAATTGTAAACACATCAATACAGTCCTCATTACGACTAGTTGAAATTATATAGTTTGATTTGTAATGTCGCGTCGCGCGTACGGCGATCACAATGCGGTGTTTACTTGTTCCTTATCATGACTATTCGTGTAACACCTGGTTATGGCTAGAAGCTTACTGCACGGTTAAATATCAAATCAAGACTATTTTGTAGAACATGAGTAGGTGTAAAAGTTCTTACAATGATATCAGTTTCATTATATTCTGCTGACACAGTAGCATGCTAAATTAATACAATGAACATTAAATTAATATAAAGATTGGAATTGAAGAAAGTCACGAATAAATAATGTTTATATAGTTATCACTGTTATAAAAATTAAACATTGTTTATTAATAATTAGCTATACACATGTAATATGTTTACACCAATTTCTATAAATTATATAATCGTTCAAAAAATAATAACCTTTTTCAACTCAACAAATATTTCTTTGGCTTTATTTTTAAATATAATAAAAACACTATTTGAGATACCGAGTACACATTTTGGTAAACGATTGTATAATCGAACAGCCCTACTAAGTGCGCTCCTATTTAACAAGGCTGTTTTATTTAGATTAATGTACTTTAATTGCTACACATGGATTAATAAATAGTAATAAATAGCCTTACACATCTATCACACGGTAGTCTTATTCTAACTATTCAAACTATTCCACTGTAATTCCATTGACAAGCTATTGAGCTACCAGTGACATCGGTCATAATATCGGTATTCTACTAACATAAATTTAAAGTGTCAATAGACTGTCGATGTAAATAGCAATGGGTCATCAATGGTGATATCAACAACATCACCATATCTGGAAAATGAAATATATCATTTCCTAACAAATTTAAAATGTACCGTTTACAAAACTTTTACAAAGACATCCACGATTTTGTATCAGTGGCAGTTAAAGTCATCGGGAGGCCATTGGTCTTACTCAGTTAGTAGAATACGAAAAGTGTCCATCCATTGAAAACAATCCATCGACAGTCTATTACAGACTACTGATAAACATCCAAACCTATAATATATTAAAATGTAAAAGTGAGTTTGTTTATTACACGCCTAAACCACTAAACCGATTTAAAAAAAAAACACCAATGGAAAGCTACATTATCAGCTAGTAACATAGGCTACTTTTACCGCGATTACCGACATACACGCGAGCGGAGCTGCGAAAAAAATAGTATATAATATTATCTTTAGGTTAGCTGTCACATTTGAACAAAATACTGGCTATACTATTATGAGCTGTTAAAACCACTGCAACTATTTTCATTATTTTTGTTTATTTGCTACATACATTAGAATTAAAAAAAACTATTGTAAATAATTAAGTGTCCCAAGACACATTATATTTGATTGAAATGAGTGTTTGCATGATTTATCATACAAGTTATTACTTTATTGTCCATTTATCAAAGCTTAACGAGCAATAATAGTGGCATTTTAACGGATTATACGTAGCTTGTTAAAATTGTTGCCTCCGTCCTCTTTCGTATAATTTACGTCGTAAACTACTGGTACATAATTCTGACTAACATGTTAATTCTATAAATACTCTACGCAGAATGTCTCGTACTAAAACTTACCTAAAACAGTATACAGTTCTTCAAAAAAAATTAACATCAGTAACTTTTAAAACAGTATCACCGAGTTAAATTGGGCTACATAGTGACGAATTGTACCTATATTATAAATGTAAAAGTAGGTTTCTTTGTTTGTTGTTTGTTACAGTTTTACGCCTAAACCACATAACCGATTTTAAAAAATCTTGCACCAATGGAAAGCTACATTATCAGTGACTAGTATAGGCTCCTTATTACCGCTATAAATGCAGGCGGAGCCATGGGCAAATACTAGTAAACTATATTATTCACTTCTAAATTTAACATTCTTAGGGGTGTTTTTTTTTTTATTTGAATGAAACAAAACGAGAAGTTTAGGATATACTTAAAAAAAGAATAATAATACCTACATCACTTTATTGTACACCAGGTAACTACAAAAAATAACTTAATTCTAGATAAGAGAATTACAAGTGACGGCCTTAACACTCAGAGGCAATATCTTACGGGCAACTATGGGATGAAGAGAAAACATTATTGGGAAAAGGTATTGGATACAGTCGGTTGTATTAGAACTTTGATAAGATAACTTTACAGAACGATTAATAAAAGACGAGGTTGTGGATTAAATAACATAAAATACAATCTTATTTAAAACCTCCTTCTTTTAAGTTGGTTAATAATTACCAATGAACACATACTCCGTTAAATGATAGATAAGTGCTTAGCAGTGCGGATCAAAGTTAGCCACCAAAAGCATTAAATAATATACTCAACTTAATATCTTAGCTGAGATTAGATTAGATAACGTTTTAATTTTAGCTGGGTACTTATGCTCAGACTGAAATGAAGATGTGTAATGTACAATAAAGATGTGAGTAGGTATTAAGTTATAATCATTAATGTAGTAACAATTTTTGACGGGTTCTATCCGTCAGGTTTTATACACAGGTTGATTTGCTCTATTTGTAAATCATCAAACATAGTCGCCACGCCAACAGATGGTCTGATCCTCCGCAGTAAATGTTTCACCACAAAATGGTTAAACTCCCGCATTAGGAGTATATCCTGTGTCGCGGGGGACTTTACAAACATACATGAAACGGACACAAAGAACACCCAGACTCATAAACACAATTTGTGGATCACACAAAGTGTCATTCCAGGTGGTAGTTCGCTTTAACCACTACGCCTACCATGCAGTCAAAAAACCGGAAACTAAACGGTACTACTTCTTCTCATTAGTTTTCATGTTGAGTATATGTCGATTCTCAAGTATAATCACCATGGCAACTGATTAATAGCTCCAAAGAATAGAAGCCAGCTAACTAAATATAATTTATTATATATTTTTAATCTTACATTCAATAGAAAACTTCGTTTAAATAACTTCAAGTTCATTAGAGAATATTTCCACAGCAGTAATTACTTCACGTTTTAATTAGCTAGAAGTTGGTTGCAAATTGGTTTTGAGTGTACAAGTACGTTTAGATCTACGAACATGCGAATATTTAATTTATTACGATAGTTTTTATTATAAAGCCAGTGAAAAAATTCAAGGTTTGGCCGTTGACATCAAGCCGACGTAACGATGATGATGCCTACCAATTATATTTTTTCGTTTATCTCTAATACTATATTTTTCTCGCTTTTGTACGTACGCACTTTTTTATAGGTTAAAATTGACATGACTACAATTCCTGTCTTAATTAAAACTATCAGATCAGTAGCCGTCTAAATAATTAAAAGAAATATATCCGTGGTATTCGTGACGAGTAACTAGCTTTTCATATAAATAAAACAAAGAAAAGTGTAGGATTAACTAAGACTAATTCTTTAAGGTTTTATTTTTATTGTCTTATGCTTTTAATACCGATAGTGTATTTTTACTGTCGACAGCTAGATCAAACGCACCTACGTTTTATTCCGTACTGTCGTATTTGCAACATCATCGATGTCCAAAATCTTAACTTATATTTACTAAACATAGTTTTACTATTTTAAGATCTAAAACATTATTCTTTCTTGCAGTAAAAGACTCAGCTGTATAATTAAACAACGTTGTCAATTTGCAATTGAAAAATAGTTCCCGTAGTAGTTTTTTTCTTATTTTCTCTTATCATGGGTAACATTAATTAATTATTACCAAAGCGATCACAATTCAATACGGTGTGAACTGCGGTAGGAAGTTTACTCTTAACTACGATCGGTGCAACTGATGAAAACTATTATTATGTAATAAGTTTCCAATTGAAAATAGTGTTTATCCTTTGTTCCAGAATGTTCGGTTCAGGTGGAGCGTGTGCGGCGTGTGGTCAGGCGATCCCAGCGAGCGAGTTCGTTATGAGGACGAATGCGCCGCAGCAGCCTTTGCACGTCTTCCACATAAAATGTTTTGCGTGCTCCAAATGTGGCTCACACCTTATGCAAGGCGATAGGTATGTCTCATTTGTTATTTTAACTTACTGTCTTAAATGAAAACCCTATAAATGAACCAAATTAATGGATTGAACAGTACTAAAACAGTTAAAATGAGCACCATTTTTTTCTAAATTTAAAAAGTTTGTGGTTTTCACAAAGTGGTGTACCTTGTGAGGATCGAACCTACAACACTACACACTCAGCGCTGTAGGGAGTGGCGGTTTAAACCGCTATGCCATCCGCGTTTTTTGCAAATCAAAGCAAGTCAAATGCAAGTCAAAGTTCTTTGTTTTTAAAACAAAGAACTTTAATGTGAACTTCTATGTGAATTTTGCAAAAAGCTTATTGTCCCAACTTTCTTACCAAGGTAACGAAATAAAATCCATTCAGAATCCATTAACAACCAGTGGATACAGAATTAATACATAAAATAATACCCTCAGCACTACCTGCAATCCCATATTCTGTTGTGAGTTCCAGCTTTACTTTTAAAATATGACTTTTATGAACTAAAACGGAAAGCGAGAGAACAAAACACTCTTAATACTTCTTTCATTTATTTCTCCAAACTTCTTAGTTTATATTAATAAGCTGTTTTTATCTCTAGGTACTATATGCTCGCGGGTTCTTTAGTATGCGAGCAAGACTGGCAAAAATTGATGAAGAGCGCGAATGCGACAGGAGCGCCGGGCGCGCCTATGCGCAAGAACAAGGTCGGCCGCCCGCGCCGCTCACGCGAATGAGCACCAGCTCCCGCGCAACAGCACTCGCATAGGGATTACGAGGAGGTTTGTACTATTTATTATGTTTTATAGTACTGTAAGCTCTACCGTTTAACTTAGACAGGGAGAAACACGTACAGGAGTATTCGAGGTAAATAAACACGCTGGTTTGGTGGTAAGTAAAAATAAACTATGCTCCTACTGGAACTGCTTGACTTAGAAAGAACCTTTTCTTATAAAGAGCCTTAGGCCAGGTTTTGTCTTTTCTAGCTAAGAGTAATTTTGTTAGCGCGTTGTTAACACAAAAGTGATAAAATTAACGTTATTAGTGTTTTTGTACATCATATCATTCTGGAATTCAATAATATATGTTTCTTTGAATTAGGAAATGCCAAGCCTAATATAGCTGGCTTGGCAAATAACGTACACTTAAAACTAATTTTTAAAAACCTTGAAAACTTTGTAAGTCACGAATTTAATAATACAATTATAATTGCCAACGTTACAAACTAATTACATATAAAAGCAAGTTTTTAATTTGTTAATGTTAAAAATCCACTAGGTTTAACGATCCGAATCAATAATAATTAAATTCATAGAGCATAAATGAAAAGGGAAAATCGATTAATTTAATATATTAAAAGTTATTTTTAATAAAGAAAAACATACAACGTTTATTGATTGGAATCAATAAAAACTCAGGTAATCGAGTGAAAATCGATTATGGGAATTGAATATTATAAAACACCCAAAATATATTCGTTTAAAGGACCTTACGCATTAGAGCAACGAGATCAGTTAATGGAATAGTTATTCGCTAGACTTCATCCGACGCGACGGTTTAAGTTTAGGTTTAAAGGACCTTATTCTCATAAGGACTTAAAGTCCACTTATAATGACATACAAACAAATAATAAAAATACAATAGAAAAATCTAGCCTCCTGGGGTGTTGCATTACTGACTTATGATCTTAAGTGGTCATTGAGTTTGGTTTTGTACATTTTTATATTTTCACACTCTTTTATGTAGTGTGGTAGAGTGTTATACAGCCGTGCTCCCTCAAATAATACCATTTTCCACTCATAATTAGTTAGTGAATGGATGAGTTGAATTTCTTAAACTATCTTTCAAAAGTTCTTTAATATTATACCTTGTTATAATCTTATATAATCACGGATGAAAATAAGAGAGAACTAAGGAGACCTGTAAAGACATACATTCCAATATTTACCTAAATACATTTTTATTGTTTGTTATAATTTCATATTAAAGGAGGTATAATTAATAAATGCCCATCACTTAACATATATTTAATTAATATAAAAATAAATTTAAACTTATGGCCTCTAAGCTTGTCAATATAATGTTAGAGTAGCATATGATTAATTGAATATATCTTGACACTTCGAATGAAGACTGAGTTAAAAAAAAACAAAGACTTTTACAAACATTTACATACTTTATTTTGTTACACCATATAAACTGATGTCAACATTCGAACACCAGCGAAAAAGGTGTTAAACAAAGTGAAGTTTTAAACCATTTTTTTACTTTTAAAATAGTTTAACACAAATATGTTTCTTTTTCTGCGTTTTGCAATAAAGTTTAAGGATTCCAGCGTTAACGTAAAATAAGTTGTTCATCGTACTCATCATTATCGTGCAGTGTGCGAGGTCTCTTATAAATCTTTAATGAACCTTTGATACCATATCTGTGGGCGGGTTCACGCTTGACCTTTGTCTGAGTTATTAACACTCATGTCGTGAGTGGCGCGGTGTTCATTAATTTATATATTTCCTAAGCTTAATTAATTACTTTAATTATTGTCTACCACTAGTTTGATTGACGCTTCGAATTGGCTGTTCGTCTTGTGGTCAAAAGACTTTAATATGAATGTTAGGTTCATTAGGAAAAACTATTTTCTATAACTTCTATATGAAATATTTAATAAATAATTTAATAATTTATAAACAATTTAATAAATAATTGTTTTTAAACAGGCAGGCAGTCTAGCAACACCAGAAATATGTTCCTATTGTGTTGAAGTTCGTCTTATGGGTTAGTCGGTGTTTAGGGTTACCCCTTAACACCGACTAACCCATAAAACTATGCAAGTATTAATATGCTTAGACTTTTGTTAGCTCCAAACACTTAACAAATCTCTGAGATCCTTTATTCTTCTTAAGAACAGCTCGTTAAATAAAGACCTATTCCGTAATTAATACATTCAGAAGATATAGCTATCTGACATACTTAATTAGACGTATAATATACTTGCACCAACTAATGTATAACTACTTAACTAACAAGATACGGTTAATCTATTTATCTACAAATGAAGTACTTATCTTCACCGACTTCCCGCTCACATTATTTCTTAGTCGATAACTTAGTAATTATCGAATACCTGACCGCTGCTTCGCACCGTTTTTTGTTTTTGTTGTGGATTTTATTTTTCAAACTTATTTATTTGTTTTTATTTATGTAATCTACTTAAAAGCCACAAAAATTTGCTTGTTATTATTCACATGCATGCATTAGTCAATTCACATGCAAGTTACAACAAACTTCTACAAATTATGTCTGGATTGTACAAGTATTTGTGCAATGAGAGGATATAATAAATTTTTTATTTATACCATACTACATGTATCATGTCAATTGTTGTATAACTCATTGACGATATTAAAAAGATTAAGATTTGAAGCAATCTGATTACGTATTAATTAGAATTAATGTCAGCGAAGATGAGCAGAGTCTTCGTTTTCGATGAACCAAGCATTCCGATTTGAAAAGTTTGAGAATCATCACTAAATACTAGGTCATCATTGCTCTAAAATATACCTCAAAGTTTTGCGTTGATAAGAAACAATTTTTAGTCGTATTCGGTTTAATTAAGTAGTCAGTAGTTGTGTAACCATTTGTTCGTTTCTCGGTAGTAGCAGTTACCTCGTGACTGTTGTACTATTGTGACTACAGCAGGTCTACTGTGATAAAACTGACATGGCTCATAAAATGAGCGACACGTTCGTGTTGTCTTTATATAACTAGTTTTACGAAGTGTTGTCAATGTACTTTGTCGTAGTTGATTGTTGGCTGTATTATGTTGGTGAATAAAATAATATGTTACAAAGATATTTAATGAAAAGATTTTTCGATGAATACAAGCAGTATAAAACCATGAGGTAATAACTTAAATTAGGAATTGTATCGAAATATTATAACTAGAATATGAATTAGTAGTACTTGTGCCCTATAGACCTCCAATCGTCAGAAACAAGAAAAAGATTTTTAACAAAATACTAGATCATGTTTTAAATACTTCTATTATAGAAATAGGTCATTTTTTTGTTTGATTGTAGACTAGGTACCACGTATCTACTTGCGGACAATTGATTTTATTTTACTCAACAATGTGCATCTTTCATTCATATTTTTCTTAAAATTTTCTTTGAACAGTCAATGAAAATGATGATGAATTCTGCAAAAAGTGCATTCACTCGTTTAGTTTTCATAAATGTCATGCTACGTTTGACTTGTTATCATGACATAATCGGATATACCTATGCAAGTCGTGCCTACTAACAGAAGAGCTGAAGTTACCAACATGCAAAAAGATAATCTTAAAGAATTGTACATTTTAGTCTTATATTTAATTTCTTCGATTCTTCAATCTTTGTGTCTGTTTCATATTCTTGACGTAGCGAAAAAAAATTTCAAAATGCATTTATCATGTCCTTCCATTAACAGATCTTCACATCAAAAACGTCTGTAACAAACCCCTAATCAGAACATTTTATATTTAAAAAACAGAATGCGTATATTTTTAAAACATAGTGCCTTGTTCGAGTGCTAGTCCTTTCAGACTTGTTAAAAATTCACGAATCATAAGCGAAACAGAGGGATGAAGGCGGCTTGCGGAAACCATTTGCACTCATGACATCAGCTACTCGGGACGGATTACGAACTGAGTACCATTATAATTATTCGAATGCATCGTGTTAAGATTTAAACGACAGATTAATTTAAAAATTCATAAAATGTATATGTATATGTAAATGTTTATATATAAATGTTTACGTAATTTATACGTATATATGCTGAATATACAACTAACCAGTGACGTCAATGTCTAGTAACAATCTGAAACAATCTATGTGTCATCAACATCAACAGCCAGTCCACTGCTGGACATAGGTCTCTCCTTAAAATGGGAGGTTTTGGTCTAATATACCACGCTGGCCAGACGTGTTGGTATAAGATTTGTTTCAAGTTTCCCTGCTATTTGCAGTGCTGTTGCCCTTTTCATTTTTTATATATAAGGAACATGTTACACATTATTTATACTATTTCTACCAATAACATTTACAGATATGTTCTATCGACATTACTATTGCAACTGCTCACACCAACAAATCCGAGAACTAGCAGTCTCGTATCTAATGGTGAATGCTGGTTCTCATATTGTCATTAAGTTTTTTCACGTTGTGCAATTGTTTTCTTTCTTTTGCTTAAAGACTAATTCAATACAAGACATGCGAACACTGCACATAGATTGAAAAGAAAATCAATTAAATCGTTAAATTAAGAATAAAAGTTCTTGTGATAATTAAATAAAACTTCTTCTTTAATAAAGTTTTTTTTAATTGTCCAACAATATTATGGATCAACTGCTTCTATACTTCTTTCCAATTTCAATGAACTATGGTTATATTCACGTCTGTGCTGAATGTTATCCCTAAATGTATTGGTTTTATAGTAACGGCATATAGTGTTATCGTTTCACAGAAAGCACTGAAGATTCTTCAACTTTTCCGGAAGCAATAAATTTCTAGGTTAAAGCTATAGCCCTAAGACTCGTTTCAGTCTTAGGACTATAGCTTTAACCTAGAAATTTGGGATATCATTTTTCACACCCTTAGCTTAGCTTAGCTTAAATGAAACCCATTTAAATGCTTTAACTTTCTAAATAAACCTCGAGTTTTGCTGTCAAACTAACCTCAAACGAAGTTACCTTTAG